CAGTTCGACAGATATAAAGATGCTAATCACGTTTGATCATAGCCGCCTTCTCAGCTTAGCTCATGTTTTTTTGGAACGCCGTGTGAGCAATGAATATTTTCGGCGTCGCGTGTTTGTTGCAGGAAGAGCGAGTGAACTGCTCTGAACCGTTATATCACGCACCAGGCTCCGATGGCTGGGACACGTGTTGCGCATGCCAGCACACCGACTCCCGCGAAGTGCACTGTTTGCACACCAGGGGTGCGATTGGAAGGGAAGGAGAGGAGGCCAGGCGATAACTTGGTCGAGAGAAATGAAAACCCCCACTTCGAATTTGGCGTCCGTTGGTGCATCCCGACTGCCTGGCTGGGGTCCTAAGGACGGTAAACACGTTTGGTTGGACACACTTGCTGATATGGCTTGGAGCCGGCCCCAGCGGCGTTTGTGTTGTGAGTTCCTTTGTCCATCCCCCTACCCTTTAGATTCCCCTCCAATTCCGATCTCATTCGAAATCCATAATATAAGACTTAACCTTATATTCAATTCCAGTTCAATTCAAGAAAGTGCTCTATGCACCCAGCTGATACATACAGCCTTTCAACGTAAATAAAAAATAACTAAATGTATAAAGCAGCGAGTGCACAAGCAGAGTGATAAGTGGCATAAACAGCGCTATGGTTACTATGTAACATAGTTTTAAACTCCAGGACAACTGATGTCTGGTCGCACAAAAAACGTGCCAGATATGGAATAACGGATGAGTGGTCAGCCCTTGTGCTGGCAAAAATGGATCTATACTTTTGTCGGATTGAGAGTGTGGATACACACTCAAACAGTGCACCATGTAGTGTAAGTATTCTCGAAACAAGCCTTATGCATCAATTGACGTGACTGGACACAAGTATCACAACAACGGTCGATTTGGGAATTCCACTATTCCGAGCTAGTTGCGTCAGTGACCTACCTAGCATTTTGAAGCGATTCTTCAGGAAACCATTAAATATCACTGTGTTGCAATAGGTCCAAAGAGATAATACGCATGCAGTGATAAATCTCAGAATTAACTGACGGGGGACAGAGGAGGATCGCAAACGAAGGACGTAGAACGAAAGCTTCCTCACCTTTGTAAAACATCATTAACTTGGAGTAACCAGGAAAGATCACGACTGGGTGTTGCACCTTGATATTTCGCTGACACTCTAGAGTGCAAATTCTCACCATCTATGTGAATTTCGGGGTATTACATGAGAAGTTGCTGATAACCGTGGCCTTAATGTAGGGAGAAAACGACGTTATTGAATTTTGATGCATTCAGCGATCAAAAGTGAGCTCTGAAACATAATACAAGGCTGTCCAGATTAGCTTGCAATTTACTTGATGTGACTGCGGTCGGTTGTTGCATACCCAAGACTACGTCGCCTGCATATTTCATCAAGACCGCACCGGCAGTGGCAGGTAAAGAGGCGATGTATGTGGGAAAGTGGTATGGAGATAGTATGCCCCCTTGCGGAACTCCAGTCTCTGTGATGTTTGGCGAGGAAGTTTTACCCCTAAGTCGAGTAAACTGGACACGTCCAGTGAAGTAGTCTCTCAAAAGATGGACGGTAGAGAGTTAAATTCCGGCATCGTGTGAATGAGTCTGATTCGGCAACCTTCCAATTATAATCTTTTTGAAATCTTTAAGTTTGCCGAGGTGCAGGCAATTGGTCGGTATTTTTCTGAGCCTTTCTTCGGCACTAGTATAATTCTGGCACTTCTCTAGCAGTCAGCGACATTACACTCTTTCATGCACCACGCGTATAGGTCAGCAAGAGACTGGGCCAAGGAGTCGGCTCACACTTTGAGGACAACGGGTGATAGTCCGTCTCGACCACTTGCTTTGTTGGAGTTTAGCTGTAGTAGTTTATTGTACACTATATTTCTGTCAATGGCAGGTAAGGAGGTTGTGGGCTCATCTTATCCTGGGGAAGAAGAGTAAGAGGTGGAGTTATCACTGAAGCAACAGAAGTTGCGGTTCAGGTCTGGATAGGACACTCGGTTAAAGACTCCACTTATCTTTTTCAACATACGGTACACATCTCGGCAGCTACTATTTCCCAGTATGTTCTGGACATATAGGTGGTTTAGACGGCGCAACTCTGTTTTGATAGACATAGAAAAAGATTTCACCACAGCGTGGTCTTTCGTTATGAACGCTTTCTCTTTGAGTCTACGCAAGCGTTTTAGGTATGGAAATGAAAATCGCTCCGCACGAATGAATATGGTTTTCAGTGGACAGCAGGTATCAAACCAGAAGTTGATGTGGCCCCTTAACTGGTCGCAATATTTTGATACGTCACTGTCAAAAATTTTACTAAAATCTGTGGATGAAATCCTTTCCTGAAGTCGGTATATGTTCTCAGGTGAACATTGTCTTATTTTAAGCCTGCGATCTTTATAAGGAGTAATATCCCTATGATTTACTTTGCTGTATATAGTAGATGATTTGCTATTCGAGTGGTCAAAACTACCAATCGGTGCCTGATTACACAAAAGCAGCTCCGCATATTTGACAAATATAAGGTCTATAGATGCTTCAAGTCTGGTGGTGGAGTTAACAACTTTTTACAGCTCAAGGTCTGTGAGAAAGAGGTGTCAAATCTGTTGAAATCACCAGAAAGCATGCAAAGTGAGGAAGCAGTGTGGTCGCTGACACTTGGAGTGAACTGCTTGTAAAATTTCTCGGTCCCAGAGGCGGGACAATTGGGGTTAGTGTAGATATTTGCAAGCAAAATTGATTGGTAGGCACTTAAACATCTTGGTTTACATTTCAAAATTAGACAGATAAACAGGAAAAGCGAAGTCAACTTTTTGTTGACGTGCACCACACAGGATTGGCTTAAGTTATAACACCGCCGCGGCTCTTGATTCTAGTTTACCGGTCGACGCGATGGCAAATATAGCTCTCGATCACTACAACCTCATCTTCAACCTTTTCATGGAGCCACGTTTATTCCTTCATAATTACGTCAAGCTTCAAGTATTCACGACAGAGAATTTTGCTTTTAATCGCCTCCATTTCGCTCATAACTGATCGGACATTTGAGCTTATTATATTGGATATACTCGTAAATCGCAAAGTTTTCTTCCCTAAAGCAACCATCCATCCGCCACGATGCTCTTTGGTAGGATTATTATGCTTCTTGTAGATACACTTCTGTTCATTTTTAACAGCTTGACCGTGAAAAACGTTCAGTGGAATAGAAACACAGGGATTTTAAAATATTGCGGGTATAGGTCGTCATTACATTGATAGTTGTATGGATTAGGTAGAAAAAATACCAGTGCAAAAATTTTAGATATAATTTTTTTGACATTCATCCCAGTTGTTCACAAGCTACATGGCACAGTCTAGTCCGGAAAAGCACCGGACGCGTTTCGTCCTACTGGGACTCGTCAGTAGTGCACATTCCATTTGTCCTCTACTGTGGATCGAACCCATGACTGCTAGGCAGATGTCAACTACCTAACAGCTTAAACCAATTAGTCATGGGAGGCGTTGGCTGGGCTACATAATTTGCAAGCTAACTGAGATATAGCACCACCTATCTTCCGCTGTCACTGACAATGGCTAGCCTGCGAGGTGATGACGTCCTCTCGCTGGATGCCATATCCATTACATTTGAAACTAGGAGAGGCTATTTATTTTATACTACTTGTGAGTAGCAGGATTTTAGCTGCAATGTTGCCGATAGCGCTTGATTTTGTAGATAGAACAAGAGCACGGCCAATTTTGAAGGCCCCATCAAAACTTTAGTGTAATTTTATAGTGTCCACTTTTTTTATTGCGACATCTTGGCTGATGTGTGTTCCTCATCCTCAGCTTACGTGTATTGATTGATTGAAGCCGACCTTTTGCACCAGGACTTGCTGGTTACGCAATAGTGCACGTGATGGTGCAGCAACCACATAACTTCTTTCCGCATTCCAATACTTTTCCGATAGCCTACTACACTCGATTAACTCAGACTCTAACGATCTGGTACTGAAGAAAATGCTCCAATCATGGCCACCTGAATGAGCAGTTCTGACAGGACGTGAACGCAATGTTTTGTGAAGATCAGTGCCTCATTGCGATTAACTTTGAAGCCAAACTACTGACTTCTGGTTAGTAACAACCCCATATGTACCTCATGCGAGCTGAATCACTGAAAGCCAGCCTTGCAGGTCACAGCAACTGCGTTACATTATGGATCAGAAACATGGTCTCTTCACAATTAAGAGATTGAGCAAATAATCCCGAAGAGGACATCCGAAACAGAAGAAGGGGGCGTCGAATGCGCAGCTCGATGATCGATGCCTAAAAAGGAGCCTGGCCTCGTTTTAGTGTCTGTCGAACCTTAACCGCTTGCGTTGGTTAGGTCATGTACCTCGCTTACACGGTTACCTCCTGCATCACCATTCAATATTTGTCAGTGATGTAGCAGGAGGATTCGGCTGAAATCTTGGACAAACTGGTATGTGGCGGGTAGACGACTAGTGATGGGTGATTCCGGTGACTTGTGCCCTTGGGCGACGTTACGCACGGCGTGCTTGCTGTTTACCTTACTCTTCGACTAGTCTTGATCATCTCCTTCGATAACTGTTTTCACTTACTGTAATTTAAATTCCGCCCCATTTCCATACTATCACAAATTATTATGATCATGATGGCGCTAATCGTGGCAGATGACTTCACCGCACTTGGGTGCTCTGCAGTTACTTCCACTAAAGTGAACTGAACTAGATGTCTATCCCTTCACAATGTATCATATTCAGCACCTTTTTACCACCTTATAGTGCAGTTTATTTTGGCCCACTGTGCTTCCGCTTCTGACATTCCTGCCGGCTTTACTGACGGGAGTTAATATAATTTATGGGCACTCGTTGGAGGGACTTAACCTACAGAATTTATGATTTTCTTTATCCCATGAATTCACTTCACCTTTTTACCATTCACATGTTCATTCTGTAACTAGATTCTCCTTTTCCTTCCACGCCAGCCGTGGATTTACCATGATTTAGATCTGGCCATTGATCTCGATCGGCGCGTGGCCTTGGTTGGACCCAACGGAGCTGGAAAGTCGACTCTCCTCAAATTGATTGCAGCTGAGGTTAGTGTCTTTCGTACTTGTCACTTCTATGCCCACTTGCTTCTCCCTTCACCCTGTCACAGTTTGTCCTTTCTCACCATTTTAGTTGGATCCCACAGATGGATTAATACGACGGCATTCTCATCTCCGTATTGGACGTTATCACCAGGTAAGCGATCTATTTGAATCATATGGAGTTTCCGACATTGGAGTTCCTAGTCTATGTTGCTCGTGCTAGTAAACAAGAACTTGGTTCAGTGCGCCTCATTCCGTCCCTACCGTTCTTGTAGTTTTGCTGCCAAATGTTTGAGGTTAGGTTCCGAATCGCCTTTACTGACTCCTCGTCAAGCCACGTTTATTCCTTAACTGAGTTACGTTTCTTCAACCCATGTTCACAGGGCTGACATTGGTCGTGATGCCCCTCGCTCATCCACTACGGCGCTGCTGTTGCTGCTACTGCAATGGTCATCATTGTCATGATGGGGTCCATGAAGTGGATCACACGGGGTCATAACATGGTGTGATGGCTTTTACATCTCCACGACTCATTATTGTTTGTCATAACTGAACGGCTAGATGCCAGTCGAACGTCGTCTTCGTGTTCAGGAGTTTGTATTGCCCGGGCACTTGTTTCTGTGAAAATTCTAATATTGTAGACACTTGCCGATTTTTGCGTATTTGCGGTTTTGCTTTCAAGTGAAAGACCAGTTGAGATCCCTAATCATTCTTTTTCCCCGTTTGGGCATCCTGATGTTGTCAGTTTAACGGCATTCGTTACTATATTTGATTGTCCCTGGGACTAAGTCTCATGCTGCATACAGAAGCAACAATGAGAACCTCAGCTGCACCGCCTTGCTTATCTTGCAGCTCAGCCATAGTTGACGTGTCATTCTGGAGTGAAGGTCAAGCATACATTTGTTGTTCCATTATAGCCCAACTAAAGGAAACACAACGCACATGCGACTTTAGGCTCAATAGTTGGCAGTATACTAGCCCATACATCATTCTTCATTATACACATTACTAGAAGTGGAAAACACCTCAGCTATTGTGCTGCAATTATGGCTAGCGGCATCCGGTTCCGGATTTGTTTGTCACTGTGGCCTCCATAGGATAGCCACAGGGCGTCTGCGCCTACAGAGAGACCATGGGTGGCTTTCGCTGCGCCACCCGCAACTCCATCTACATACAACATATCCAGTGTAAACCCTAAGAAGTAAGACCGGTAGGCATGTGGATGGAAACAACGCTTCATGAACAGAGCCGGCCCACACTCCTTCAACAGGTAGGGCAGAAGCATTCATGTCTAATTGTGATATCATGCGTGCCAAATGTACACAAGGCAGTGGCTGGTCATTAGCCCGTTCTACACTTGTTGCATGGAACCATTCTTTGATCTTAGCACCGTGCACCCCGTTCCCTCCAGCAACGTCCAACTGTATCCTGGAGCCAGTATAGACGAGGTAGTTGGTAATAGACAGGTAGGCACCTTGTCAACCTTCACATCAAGCGCAGTCACACCGGGGATATCAATCAGCAACCACTGAAAAGCATGAAACTCAATGCGCATGCACACTTACAGACCAAATGTAACGACGATGCGGCACACGTACCACATCTTCCGCCTTTTTGGCTTGGGTTAGTAAATCAAATGGACGTGGACGTCGAGCACCTACCAATCGCTAAGCTGATTGTGCTTAGCTAATCACTTGGCATCGTCATCTTTTTGATGCTGGCCGCACGTATCTACGCTGGTGACTTACCAAACCCGCTTTGCTCAGCTACTCGCGGCCACATGGGCTACAGCACGATGAGCTTGACGTCGATGGGGTAGCCACCATCGGCGCCTGTCGTTTCCGTACACGCCGCTTCTCTGCATGTAGCAGGGCTTTCTGTTGCACCTGGGCAACCGCCCTCTTAATCAGCTCACGCCATTCGCGACCATCTGAATACTGTATTGTGGAAGCAAGTAGAAAGTTGAATCTATACAACCCAATCGAAATATGATCAAAAACGTTAAATAAGCAAACTATGACTTGCCAATACGGTGATCGCTTTTCACGTTCTCGTATTATATCGTTAAAAATCGTTTAACTCACATTAGCTTGTACTCGAAAAATACGAAATGTCTTTGGGTAATTATTCTCGGAATCTAATATTTAGGAATACACATTCAGTGATCCTTTGAATAGTTGCGCTGAGTTCCGGCAAACTGTTCCAGACATTTACCACTCGCCGTTTCTAGCACAGGGGATGGAGAACTCGCTTTATATCTGGAACCACAAGTTTGTATTGGTGTCCGCGTGTGTTGCAGGGCGTTCGCAAGTGGAGCAGTGGTCTAGCATGGGGAAGTCGCCTACATGTATAATCCGGAATGTCATGATGAGGTCGACACGTAACCGACGGTTTGTCAGTGTCAACAGTCCCAGTCGCTCGCATCTGTTCTCTTACGGTAAGACTCACAAACTGGGGATGAACGTGATAGCGACATGTTGAACCCGTGCAATCTTCTGCTCCTCACCGCGAGTGATCGGGCAATAGGCGGGCGAGCCGTATTCTGGCATTGGTCTGCTTATGGAGAAGAAGAGGCAATCTCATCGAAGCAGATGCAAAAACTGTCTGAGTGCTTAGAGCATGCGTAGTACGTTACGATATAGCCTGTTCGTGTTGTCATCGGACTTCAAGTCGCAGCATGAGAGTACTCCTAGATCCTTCTTAGAAAGTGTGTGGTGTGGCAGTTGGCCGTCGAGTGTAATTTCGGCCGTCACCACCTTTCCCCAGGCTCATACATACCGACGTGGATGAGTTGACCGGGAGGCAGACTTCTGCAGACCACACGGAAAGACGGTTCAAGTCTTGTTATAGTAAGCCACAGGCTTCTGGTGTGCTTATCACGCTCCATATCTTCGGGTTATCTGCAAACAGGGCCAATCGGTCAATGACTATAGACTTGTTCCCTCCACTTACCTCTAACAAGAAAGTCCTGGATTCAGTGATGCAAAGATCCACCAACACCACACACTCTCAGCTTTAAAAAAAGACCTCATAGTTCACCTTTTCGAACGCTGCTGCAATCGACGTAGATCACGTCTACAGACTTCCCTAGATTCACTGCCTGCATCCATTCACGCCTCGTCACGAGCAGGTTGATGACGCATGAACGACGTGGCATGAAACCTTCTGTGCGGGGGTCAGGAGATCTCTTGCCAAGAACACCTCTAGCAAACGTTTCTTCACAATCTTCTCTCCAACCTTGACCAGAATAAGTGTCAAACAAATTGCTCTGTAGTTGTCTACTTTGCTGGGGTCACCACCTTTCGGAATCGGCCCTACAACCGGGCGTTTCCAACGAATCGGCAATGTACCTTCGTACCTGTTGAACAGGTCAGTTACGGCAGGCGAGATGATGGCAGATAAGAATTTGAGCATCAGGGGGTGGAGCCCGTCAGTCCCAACAGGCTTGGTGCCTTCAAGATTGTCGAGTAGCTGATGCACCGTTTCTACCGCACAATACAGATTGTCAAGTTCGGTAAGGGTGGTGCATGCCGAACTCGGTACAGACACCTGGTCGTTTGCAAACACAAAGTGCGTCGCCAATGCGGAAGCACGCTCAGTGCTGGAAGCTAACGGTTGTCTGTTTTCGCCCTCTGTTGCTGCTTGGTTACTAGTCGGTGCTACAGAGAGCCAGCGTACAAGCTGTGAAGCGTGGCGCAAGGGTGGGTCGATCTGCAATTGGAGATGGAACTCGAATAAACATCGAAACGCGAATCAGAATCGGAATCACTCGGTCCGGCTGTTTTCTTGGCGTTCTCAATTCATTGCGATTTAACTGGCTGGGGCGGCGAGTTATCAGTACACTCAGCCGGAAACAACAACAGTCGGCTTCAGGCGCCGCTTCACGTACGCAAAAATTCTCTTTGGGCAGTTGCAAGCTGCTCTTTGAAACGCTTGCGCTTGTTGATTTTCATGCCGTTGCAGATATTTTGCTGCTTTTCTGCATCTCATAGACGTCGTCCGAACCAGGGATAAGGGATTCGTCCCAGCACGTGAAAGCAACATAAGTTCGTAATATACTCACATTGATCATGTGCCCTGGTAACGTATTTCCGGTTTACCCCCGTACCGCTTCCCACCACTAAGTTGGTATCCTCTTCAAATTCATTCAGCTGATGTGCCGCAGATCTCTCAACCGAAGTATGCATTCCACTGCATACATGCCACTGCGGCGCAGCGCTTCGTGGCTGCAACCCTGTCACACCAACCGATGAGCAGAATCCGTCCCAGCACTATTGATGAAATCGCTCCAAATATCTGACGTCAGCTGTCAGCATTTTTCCTGCAACTGATGAGCCGCGAACGCCATATTTATGGTGCTGTGGCCCGAACGGAATTCACATTGCTGTTCCACCACGTTCGGTTCAACGACCTGAATGATAACGCGGTTGAGCAGGATTTGGGCGATTAGCTTCATCGCGCAACAGCGACTTGATGCAACGATAATTTGTGCAACATTGCTTGCTTCCTTTGCTCTTGTACAGTGGTAGCACAAGGGCATCCTTCATCTTGATTGTCCCTTCCTTTTCAATCCGCACGCGTTGCACCAAGTGGTGCAACCAGTCAATCTCTGAACGGTTGTACAAGATTGACAAAGAGCTTTGGCCAGATCTGCATTATCTCCATAGTCTGTGTGCAGGCAGCGTCTGAAGTACGATCGAGCAGCGTCCTCAGCGGCTGCAAGGTGGTTCCATACGTTACACAAGCAGTCAAAGAATTCCTTGTGTTGGGAGCATTCGGCATAGCATTCCATCTGTTTCACCTTCTCTGTTCACCCTGCATTCTTAATGAGAGGAAGCGCTCAAGTCAATCGGCGTCGATGTTTACGATACTGACTCTCCTCCTCGCAGTCGGAAAGGTCATCCAGATGTTCAGCGAACGCTGCATTCTTCTCTGATACCAATGCGTCAATGCTCGCACTGTTGTCATCAAACCAGTCGGACCGCTTACAGTTTGCTCGCCCGATTGTTTCTTCGGCAACATCCGTCACCTGCTCACGAAAGTGAGGCCACAGGTCTCTAACTGAGGCTATGAGTTCGACATTGCCAAGGCGGGTGGCCATCGGCTCCTCCTACTTCTTGACAGTGCCTAGGGAGCGAACATTTAATTCTCGCC